ACTGGTAGTACAGACTTCTGACACCAGCACTCAGGAGGTGGAGGCCGTAAGATTAGGAATTCAACACCATTCTCCACCATTCACAGCCCATTCAAGGCCAGCCTGGGTGATATAAGACCCTGTCTCAAAAAAAAAAAAAAAAAAAAAAAAAAAAAAAAGAACCCTCCAAATGATATCAATGATATCTAGACATGAATATTTTTAATATAACACATGACTAAACCTATCCCCTCAAGAAATACACTGCCCATTTACTGAGATGTCTGCCATAAATCACATCACAAACCACCTACGCAAATATACTCATTGGGTCTGCACTGCTGTGCCCACACAAACCACCTGAAACACGGGCTCTTTCTGCAGTCCCTGGCCATCCCACCTAATGTCACTGTAGTCACCGCTTACTGTGCTCTGTGCTTTCCCTCCTGTTTTCCCAGCACTCATCACGATCTGAAAACTTATCCAGAATTGACCAGTTTGTCATGTTCCCCTCCATATTTTCAGTGCCTACAACGGGGGAAAACGGGTGGTGGGGCATCATTTTCCCTCTCAGAGGGGGTTCAGTGTCAGCACTCAACAAGCTGTTTTTTTTTTTAGATTTATTTATTATGTATACAACATTCTGCCTCCATGTATGCCGGCACGCCAGAAGAGGGCGCCAGATCTCAGTACAGATGGTTGTGAGCCACCATGTGGTTGCTGGGAATTGAACTCAGGACCTCTGGAAGAGCAGCCAGTGCTCTTAACCTCTGAGCCATCTCTCCAGCCCCTCAACAAGCTGTTTAATCTCCAAATATGACAAGAGCTATGTAGCCCAGGTTAGACCAAACTCAAGGCCTCCACCTTGCAAAGGCTGAAATTATAGGTGTATGCCACCACAATGAGCCCCTTGGTTATTAGGAAACCCCAGTAACATGTAGAAGAAGCCACTGGGAGTTCTAGGCAAACCTGGGTCATATGGCCCAAAACAAAAAAATAAAATAAAATAAAAATAAAGAGCTGGCAAGATGACTCAGAAGGTAAAGGTGGTTGGCATCATGCCCTGACAACCCCAATTCAATTCATAGGACCCACATGGTGGGAGAACCAACTCTTGCAAGTTGTCCTCTGACTTCCACACAAATGCTGTAGAGTACACATGCACATACGTGTGCATGCTTGCAAGTGCACACATACACACAAATGTAATTTCTTAAGTTTCAAAGTCAGGTGTAGTGGTACACACCTTTAATCCCAGTACTTGGGAGGCAGAAGGCATTCAATGTCAGCCTTGTCTACCAAGTGAGCTCCAGGACAACCAAAGCTAGCTACATAGTGAGACTCCAGTTTGGACAGGGATTAAAAAAAAATGGTTTACAGTGAAGTATGACACACACCTGTCACCCAGCACTATCACCAGGGTGGGCACTCCAGGCTAGTCTGACCAGAGTGAAACCTTTTTACAAAACAAAGAGTGGAGCCGGGCGGTGGTGGCGCACGCCTTTAATCCCAGCACTCGAGAGGCAGAGGCAGGCAGATCTCTGGGAGTTCGAGACCGGCCTGGTCTACAAGAGCTAGTTCCAGGACAGGCTCCAAAACCACAGAGAAACCCTGTCTCGAAAAAACAAATAAACAAAAAAACAAAAACAAAAAAAAAGAGTGGAAGTTCTCATGCTGTAGTTCTGTAGATCCCAGTGGAAACAAAGCCCAGGTGCTGCAGCTCCTCCTTGGATCTTCCCACTGTTGAAAGGCAGTGTTTAAAAGAATACAGTTTCCGTGTAATTATTTCAGGCATAAGCTACCCATGCGGGCGGCCGGGTGCCGGGGATGCAGCCCCACCGCTCCTATTTCAACAGAGTGGCACCCAACGTGCTAATGAACTCCACATAAAACCTGAGAGGGCTTAAAAAGGAGAGAGAATTTAAGACAGCTTTTTGCTGTTTGTGGGTTGTGTACTGCAAAGAAAACTTGCTTTCTTTGGGCCCTAGGTACTGCCAGTAATGCTGGCTTGTGGCCTTCATCCATCTTCAAAGCCAGCAATTGTCCTGATCAGCCAGGTCACCTAGGAAGTGCCTATTTTGACAACACAATCACATTCACCAACTCACCTCACCCTCAGGTTCATATTCATAGGGCCCAGGGACTTATGGTGTGTACAACTTTGAGGGACCATTAAGTCAAAATGTCACTAATTCCATCACGTAGACATGCCCAAAGCTTGGAGAATCTATCATTGAACTAGGTACAACAGAGCTTCTGGCAATCCCACCAGGCGGTGGTGATACATGCCATTAATCCCAGCACTCAAAAGGCAGAGGCAGGCAGATCTCTGAGAGTTGGAGGACAACATGGTCTACAGAGCAAGCTCCAGGACAGCCAGAAATGTTAGAGAAATCCTGTCTCAACCACAACACCCCTCATCAGCCCCCCCCCCCCCAAAAAAAAGGACAAATCCAGGGAGGTCAAAATCTTCACTGGGCACCAGCAAGTATAATGAATTCCTAACTCCCAGCACTTAAAAGAGGATGATAAAAACCCCAAGATGAGACTAACCTCGTCTAAATAAAAAGGGGCAGGATGAAAAAAAACCCAAGATGAGAGTAGCCTAGTCTAAATAAATTTTAGACCAGCTTAGACTAAAAAGACCCTGTCTCAAAAACAAATTAAAAAAAAAATCACAAAAGAAAATCTTTGCTGGACAGATTCAAGAGAATACAGGTTTGGTTTTACTAGTTAAGGAAGCTTGATGGTAGTGTTTGCCTAGCATGCTAAAAATCTTAAATCTAATTCCCAGTAAAAGGGATGGAGGGCAAGGGTGGAGAAGGTAGGCATGGAATCAACCAGGTTTCTATCTTTTTACATGTGTACAGCTACACACATGTAGCATAGCATGGGCTCCTAGAATCAAAACTGTTAGGCTTGGTAGCACTTGCCTGTAACTTGCTGAGCCATCTTGCTTGAGTTCCTCAAAAAGATGTTTCTCTTTTTCAGTTTTTCAAGACAGGATTTGTGTAGGCTTGGCTGTCCAGGGACTAGCTCTGTAGACCAGACTGGCCTCAAACTCAAACTCACCTGCCTCTGCCTCCAGAAGACTTGAACCAACACCTCCTGGCAGGGTTTTTTTTTTTTTTTTTTTTTTTTTTTGACAGGTTGTCTCTACATATCCCTGATTATCCTGTAACTGACCAAGGAGGTCTTGAACTCACAGGGATCCGCCTGTCACCAGAAGCTGGAATTAAAGGAATGAGCAACCAGGTCCAGCTGATTTTTTTTTAATGCAAGAAATAGCATATTTATAGGTTGGTGGGAATGATCTAGAAAGAAAATGAAAAGGGCATCAGAGAAAGGAATTTAAATCTGAACCCTTTATTCAAATAAGGGATGAAGTCAAATAGATGAAAAAACAAAAACAAAACCTGAGTGAGAGGGCTGGGCAGATACTTGGTGGTTAAGTGCTTTGCTGGTTCTGCAGAGGACACAGATTCTGGAAGCACCAGTTCCAGGAGATCCAATTTTCAGCTTCCTTGGACCCAGCATACATGTGGTACACACAAACTGAAGCAGGCACACATATATGCACACTTTTTAAACCCTAAAAATAGTGTTTATAGAACAGACCCTTTAAACAGGGGTCCAATGTGTTGGTTATTAACAATTTAATTGTCCACCATAGATGGGTGAGACGTGTGTCAGAGAGCTGTGAAGGTTTTTAGAGCTTTGGTTCAGTGTTGGCACACTAGCCAAGACAGTGTTTGCTTGTAGTTGTTCCAAAGCATCACGGTTGAGACTATGCAGCACTATCAGTGCTAACCTGGGAGCTTCCAGACAGTTCTGTTCTGCCTTCCATCTCTCCACAGAAGGGCTGGATCATAAATATCCAGCTCTTTAAGTGGCTCCAGGGATGAACCCAGCCTTTTTCCCGCTGAGCAGTCTTTCTGGCCCTTTGTTGTTGGTGGTTTTTTTTTTTTTTTTTTTTCTTCCCTTTCGAGACAGGGTTTCTCTGTAGCTTTTGGTTCCTGTCCTGGAACTAGCTCTTGTAGACCAGGCTGGCCTCGAACTCACAGAGATCCGCCTGCCTCTGCCTCCCAAGTGCTGGGATTAAAGGCGTGCACCACCACCACCCGGCTGGCCCTTTGTTTCTAGGTTTAAAAACCAATCAGCTAAAAAGAGGGTGGGGAAAAGGCATTAAAGATATTGGGACCCTCCAAGAATAAAGAGTAAATCAGACAGATGTAGCAGGTCTGTGAGACAATGGCACGAGGCCACAAAACTTTAGACTCATCAGCATATTTAGCTGCACAATTTCAGAGATGGTGGAATACTTGGCTTAACCACACATAGTACAGGCAGAATGACAAGGTGTAACAATTTCCCGTAGAGCTAAGAGCAATTATCACAACCAGCCACAGAATCCAAGGGGGCTAATACAGAGGACAAGGTTAACACTAAACTGTAGGACGAACAGCTTGTAGCTGACAGAGCACAAAGCCATCCACAGCTAAGACAGGCTCTTGTCATGTAGCCCAGGGTAGCCTTGAATGCCCTGATCGATTCTTCATGCCCCTAGCCAGAGTGCTTAGATTACAGATGATAACCCCACACCCAGCTTCTACCCACTATAACTTTGTTTCCTTACAACTGAGGTCCTCTAAAGTAGCATTCATCTTTTCTTTGTACCTTGGCACTTATCTAGTTTACCAGTGACTAAAGAGAAATTATATGATACATAAAGCAGCTAATTCTCCACTTTTAAGAGTTTAAAGAAAAATTGTAATGCCTTATCCAAACCTATGATGTAAACAAATTCTTTAAACTGAGATGCTGGAATTACTATGTTGCACCCAAGAGTTGAACCAGAACTGTACTAGTTGTATCCGAACTGCAGTCAGGAACATCCTACGGAACACCTCTCACTTCACCTCTGGAAGCACATGATCAGGACACAACTCGGGCCTTGGGAATACCAGAGACAGGAGAGCAAACAAAGTCAATTTGGAGGTGGGAAAAAAAATGCACAAAGAGCATGTAAAATATGTTTTATTGTTCTTTAAAAGGGTTCAGGGTTTGGTTTTAAATCAGGCTGCACACCTTTCAAAAGTCTGACATTTCTCATCATGCCAAACTGGCTTTCGCTAGCAATACTTCATTAAATCAAAAAGAAAAATAAAAAAGTTTTAATTTTGAGGAAAAAAAAAGTCCAGTTCTGAGAACAATTAACATTAGTCTTATTTAAAGCAAAATGAGGGCTGTTTTATGATGTTTTATACACCCTTCTCCTCACACAGAACCATGAATGTAATTCTGTCCCAGGCAGGAACTGATACTGATGGACACCTACATGCACACACCCTCATAGGAGCACACATGCTCGTGCACAAATGCACACAGCAAAGTTTTGAGCATGTCTAGTGGAAAAAGCTTTGCTGGTTTTGATCAAAACCCCTGGAGTCAACAGTCAATCTAAACGTAGAGGGCAACATATTCTGATCTTGAGTCTATGTTAAAGCAATCTATTGTCATTTTCTGAAATAAGAAAATTTTGGATTGTATCATCATTTTCTACTTTAAATTCTAGAAACAATGTCAAAAAAAAAAAAGCATTATTTTTCATTTTCTGGAAGGCAGGAAGGATTCCACAGATCTAAACTGAGTTAAAAGCAGAACAATTCCAGCAATAGTAAAGAGGCAGCGCACAAAGCTGCCAGCATCTGAGGGACCAAATGAGATGCCGTCCATCCTACTGGCCTAGCTGATACTAACAAAACGGGAAGTTTATGGCTCTGCATAATAAATTCCCACTGGGACAAGATGATGATGCTAGGCCTGCACTCAGGGCTTGGGCAGCAGGGCACTGTCAAGTAAGGAACATTTAGGGGAAGAGGTCCAGAGTCTCTGGAGATGCCCCTCCACTTGCGTTGTCATTGACAGCCTGGCCAACTGTCTTCTGAAAACAGGGAAAAGCAGCTCTTCTGTGTCAGCCCACTTAACAGAGAACACAAAAAACGCTATCCCCTGATGCCATAGCGCAGTCCCACTGCCTGCTACAGCCTGTGGACACACACTCTCTAGGCATTACTGGCTTTGACAGTGATTTTTTTTCCCCCTTTAATCTCAGAAGACTCTATCAGTAACAAGGTAATAGGTGGTTACACTAACTATACCTACAGAGAATAATTTGTAAAACCACCACCAGATATTCCTCAAGACCAAAATACTGTAAATGTTCTGTAGCTCCTCTTTTCTGAAATCAGCTCTAAAGTTTTACTATTGCTTTCCCATGACACTGTCAGAGAGCAAATCCACAGCCCACGGCTCTACGGTTAGAAGCATCCTAACTCTCCTGGACATGCTATCGATGACCTAGAGTTGACTCTTCAATAAAGTTTCTGGGATGCCCACTCCTTCCAATGTTGGGAAAAAGGACTCTACTCTCAGCTAAGTTCCAGGAGACAGACTCCTCTTTAAGATGTCATTTCTACACCATTTACCAAAAAAGGCTCCTGGCTAACTTTCATACCTAATGTCAGATCAGGGTCATGAGAAAAAAAAACTAAGATGACCTCCCCACCAAAAACTCTTAGATGGTATAAAATATTTGTACTGCTTTTTCTTTGCTTTTTTTTTTTTTGGGGGGGGGGTGTTGTTTTTTTGTTTTTTTAATTTTCCTATAAGTGCCCAGGTGGGCTTAAGGCTGCCAGACACACATCTACAGCAACAAGGCTTCTTTCTATTCCATCTACATGTATCAGGAGGTGGAAGAAGGGGTAGGGGGCAGGAAGGAAGAGAGAAGATGGGGAAAATCCACCTCCCCAAATCACACAAGGAGACCTATGTGCCAAGCATAATGGAAGTGTGTGCTCCCCAACAACTGGCTCCACACTAGTTAATATTCTGCTGGTTTTCCTCAGACATCTATTTTGAAAAAAGTTTAAAAACACAGGAGATTCTGAAATAATTCAATCCTGGCAGAAATCAAAACTCCAAAACTAGGAGCAAAATCATCTTTCACTAAATTAATCCCTTTTCCTTTCTTCTTTTCTTAAACATTTTATTCGTGTTATAGAGGGATTTATCGTTTGCTTTCTTCTCAATCATCAGGAGTTGAGGAGTACTGAATCCATCACTACTTTGATGACACAGGTAAGATTCCAGATTCACATTTCCAGGTACCAAGAGTTCCCTCTAATGCCACGATCCAGTAAGCCTTCCTCTACTTCTACTGAACACAGCAATGCCCATTGGTATCTCTGAAGCGTAATCGCATCTTAGGTCGATATTTCTCCAAGTAAAGCAGCTGTTTGGAATTGAATGCTCCCCTTCTTTTTCTGAAAATACAAGAACAATACACTATTATCATGTAGCCAGAGCTGCATGGCTTACTGATATGTACTATTTATAGTATAATGCTTTCTAGCTAGCTCTCCCCAGATGAAAACCTGCATATTCCCCATACCACATCATTTTAAAAAGTGAGAACATGGAGGGTTTTTTTTTGGGGGGGGGGTATGTGTGTGAGATAAGGTTTCCCTGTGTAGCCCTGGCTGTCCTGGAACTTGCTTTATAACCAGGCTGTCCTCAAACTCATGAAGATCAGTTTGCCTCTGCCTCCTAAGTATTGGGATTAAAGGTGTCTGCCACTACCTACCTCTCTCCCTCCTCATCTCCCACCTCCCCTCCTCAACAGGGTTTCTCTGTGTAGCCCTGTCTGTTCTAGAACTCACTCTGTAGACCAGGCTGGCCTCAATTCAGAGACCCACCTGCCTCTGCCACTAAATTTGGTTAGATTACAGGCATGTATTACCACCGCCTGGCTGAGTGGAATGTCATTCTTTACCTGTAACAGTAGTTTATTTAAACAAAGATCAGCAAGGCTTATTGGTTTATCCAATTAGATGAACAGATTCTTTTTTAAAAAATATATCTTTAAAAAAAAAGATTTATTTATTTATTATGTATACAACATTCCTTCCATGTACACCTGCACACTAGAAGAGGGCACCAGATCTCATTAAAGATGGTTGTGAGCCACCATGTAGTTTCTGGGAATTGAACTCAGGACCTATGGAAGAGCAAGCAGAGCTCTTAACCACTGAGCCATCTCGCCAGCCCAGATGAACAGATTCTTCAGATCAGAATGAGAAACAAGTATTTAGTGCACTCTTTTTTTTTTTAATATTTATTTATTTATTATGTATACAATATTCTGTCTGTTTGCCTGAAGGCCAGAAGAGGGCGCCAGACCTCCTTACAGATGGTTGTGAGCCACCATGTGGTTGCTGGGAATTGAACTCAGGACCTTTGGAAGAGCAGGCAATGCCCTTAACCACTGAGCCATCTCTCCAGCCCCCTTTAGTGCACTCTTAAAAACTAAAACTAGATTATACTAAGACAAAGCCTCAGGTTCAGGACAGACTGAGGTGGCAGACAGTGGACACCACTGTCCCAGAGCTGAGAACCATACAGTTCATGTTTCCTGTCAGTCTTCTGTTTCCTTTGTTAAAGAAAGGAACAGCATGATCTATTTCAGACCAATGTCAGGAATGCCAGGTTACTAGCATTTTAATTTTGTATGACAACAGGTTGTTAAAAAGTACTAAGTGGTATCTGACATCCTCACACATACATGCAGGCAAAACACCAATGTGTTGTGAAGATTTGTCATTCATACTGGTTTAAAAAAAAAAAAAAACTGACTGGTCAGTAGCCAGACAAGAAGTATAGGCAGGGCAACCAGATTAGGAGAATTCTGGGAAGAGGAAAGGCTCTGTCTGCAGTCACCAGCTAGACACAGAGGAAGCAAGATGAGAATGCCTCACCAATAAAAGACAAGAATTATGGGTTAATTTAAGTTTTAAGAGCTAGTTAATAATAAGCCTAAGCTAATAGGCCAAATAGTTTATAGTTGTTAAAAGCCTCTGTGTGTTTCTTTGGGACTGAATGGCTGCAGGACCAAGTGGAACAGAAACTTCGTTGGTGCTATTATGGAATACACTGACCAATCTACTCACTGTCAAGATTCCTAGACATCCAACCATATACATGCCCAAATTTGACATCTAAATTAGAAGAACAATCTTATAAACTCCTGGTAGTCTTTGTCACTTGCCTTTATCTTTTCCTCTATTTTCAAATAGTATTTTAAACCCAAACCAGCCACTTCTTACATATTCCAAATGACTGTTTTCTATAACCTCTTCCTCATGCATACAACTTCATACTCACTGTCTTATAAACTGAACAGCATCTTCATACTTCATTCCACATTCAATCAACGCAAGTGCCACTAGCACAGGAGCCCTGCAGAGAGGAGGTCATCATCATAAGTATCCACAAGTCTTTAGAATGTAAAGGGATTTTTGTTTTTGTTTTTTGAACTGAATGCTTATATATTACCAACTTGAGCTTTATGCTGGGTGTGGTGGCACACGCCTTAAATAATCCCAGCATTTGGAAGATCTCTGTGAGTTCAAGGATAGCCTGGTCTACAGAGTGAGCTCTGAACAGACAGGATTATAACATAGAGACCTTGTCTCCAAAAAAGTTTAAAAACAGGAGAGAGAGGGGGAGAGAGAGAAGATAAAGAAAAAAAATAACTGAAGATTTTCCTCTTTAACTCAGTAATCTAATGTTTTCTTTTATTCTGAGACAAGGTCTCACGATGTAGACCAGGCTGGGCTCACATTCACTTATACTTAATTGTCTTTCCCTCCCAGCACCACTGTACTCAGCTTCCCTACACCCCACCCAAAGAAAAGTGTCTTGGAAAGCCCATTAATAGGACACCATCTCTGAATACTTGAGACAAGCAGTAAGCAGTGCTAACGGCCCAAGTCACCATCACCTTGAGGCAATGGCACCTCACAGTAATATTCTGAGTCACAGGGCACACCACAAATTGGCATTTAACCTTCTGTTGATCAAAGTGTTGAAACACTATCTCAAACAATACTTAGCCAAAAAAGAAAAAGAAAGGTTCTAAAATCAGTCAATTCTCATTGTCCCATACATCACTATTCAAGAGTTTAAAGTAACCTGTCAAATTCCCTTTCATCTCAATCCAAACTCAACTATGTACATATAGTTTAACCTCTAAAATTATTTTAATTTTAATTTGTTGCCCACTTAATGACCTAAATATGTCTATTTGTTGAAATGGGGTAGGGAATCCTCATTACAGGCAATATAACATTAGAATCAGATCCAGACCCAACACAACTGGCTCTTAAGAGAGCTTATTACACTGGCATTTGCTCGTTTTCTTTCCAGTAATTTAGCATCGTTTAGTTACTAAATGCAAATTCTACCAAGGTGAAATTTTCAATAGGTTTACTTAGATACAACGACTTCAGAAAAAAAAAGTAGAGTTTTTACCTTCCCAATCCTGCCACACAATGCACTGCAACACAGCAACCTGGCTCTTCACGAAATTTGGTTTTTAACAGATTTAGCCAATCATCTACTATTTGATTAGGGGGTGGAGCTCCATCATCAAATGGCCAATCCTGAAAAGAAATGACTTCGTATATTAAATTGGGACTAACACCCTAATACAGATGAACTGAAATTAGTAGTCAGGGCAGTCAGGCAGGCTTAACTGAATTAACTATATCACTTAAACCTATTTTTTTGTTTGTTTGTTTCTGAGATAGCGTTTCTTTGTGTGGCCTTAGCTGTCTTGGAATTTGCTTTGTAGCCCAGGATGGCCTCGAACTCATAGAGAGATATCTGCCTGCCTCTGCCTCCCAAGTGCTGGGATGTACCACCACCACCCAGCTCTGTACACCTATTCCTAACACAATTTTGATCACCGCTGAAAAACTATCCAAGACCAAAATTTGAATCTGCCAAGTAAGTCTCCTCAAATGAAATATAATCAATGTCATACACACCTAAAGACAGACAAATATACACATAATATACTGCTAACTGAACCTAGGGGCTTATTGATACTAGGCAAGCATTCTTACCACAACACCGAGCACTATCTTTCTTTTCTTTAAGATTTATTTTATTGGGGCTGGAGAGATGGCTCAGCGGTTAAGAGCATTGTCTGCTCTTCCAAAGGTCCTGAGTTCAATTCCCAGCAACCACATGGTGGCTCACAACCATCTGTAATGAGGTCTGGTGCCCTCTTCTGGCCTGCAGGCATACACACAGACAGACATTGTATACATAATAAATAAATAAATAAATAAATAAATAAATAAATAAATAAATAAATAAATGGTTTATTTTATTTATTATATATACAGTACTCTGTCTACATGTCTATCTGAACAACAGAAGAGGGCTCCAGATCTCATTATGGATGGCGGTGAGCCACCATGTGGTTGCTGGGAATTGAAGAGGAGTCAATGATTTTAACTTCTGAGTCATCTCTCCAACCTCCCCACACCCCTATCCCCGCCAAGCACTGTCTTAACCAAAATCTCTGTCACAAACTCAGATGTTGTATGGTCAGAGTAGCAGGTAGACATGATAGAAAAAAGACTACTAAAGCTGAGACCAAACATTGCTAACGTGGTCATGTGTGCCAGATGGAATCCCACTGGTTTATTCACAAGTGCTTCTGAGAATTATTCCCCTTGGCTAAAATATCTTTCCTTAGAAAAAGGTTTCCTGAAATCACCTTTATCATTTCTTTCTGAGATACTACTATATTTATGTGAATAAAATTAGTTTTAGGTGGGGAGAGATTAAACTACCCAAATTATACATATGTCAGTTAGTAAGGACAATGTCAATGATAGACTCCTGAGACTGTTTTCTTAAACATTCTCTTTATGGTCCCATGTAGTCTAAGCTGGTCTTGAACTTGAGAATCCTTCCACCTCCCAAATTCTAGGATTACAGACATGTGCTGAAATACCCTCCCCCACTTTTTTAGTGAAGAGACAGCGTCTCTAGATAGCCCTGCCAGGCCTTGAACTTCTCAGAGCCCTCTGTCCCCCATTGCTGGGACTAAAGGTGCGTGCCAACACGAGCACATCCAGCTCCTCCGTCCAGCATCGATCTGAACTGTCCTGCAGTCCGTGCACTTCCCTAACAGCACACCTGCTTGTCAAATCTTCCTTGATACTAGGCAAGAGCTCCTAGCCAGGTGGTGGTGGCGCACACCTTTAATCCCAGCACTTGATAGGCAGATCTCGGTGAGTCTGAAGCTAGCCTGGTCTAAGGAACTGGTTCCAAACAGGAAAACAGGCTCCAAAGCTACACAGAGAAACCCTGTCTCAAAAAACAAGCGAGTTCCTAATAACTCCAATAGAAATGGACAGGATTCATCACATTTTATGCACTCTTTCCTCCCTCTTAAAGGACAAAAATGAAATGGGGAATTGCCTAGTGGAGAGCTGACTTCCTCCAACACTTCCTTTACAGCACACCTGGATAAGGAACAATGCGCAGAACATGCTGCCCTTACTGAAAAGCAGTTTCTTTCTGTGGTTTTTTGTTTGGGTTTTTACATTTTTAGACAGGGTCATCTCAGTATACAGCCTTGGCTGGTCTGGAACTTATGTAGACCCAGGTTGGTTTTGATTGCACATATATTCACCTGCCTCTTCCTCTCAAGTATACCACCATTAGCTGTTTTACTTGTTCAATGTAATTCAAATTGGCTTCCCCACCTCCTGCCTCAGTTCCCAAGTGCCGGGATTCCAGGCACAGCCAACACAACAGCAGTCATTTTTTGTTTGTTTTTTTCTGTACAGGGTTTTGCTATAGCTTTGGAGCCTGTCCTGGAACTAGCTCTTGGAGGCCAAAGCTGGCCTCAAACTCAGATATCCGCCTGCCTCTGCTTCCCAAGTGCTGAGATTAACAGACTGACTTAACAACAGTCCCTTTCTTAAAAAGCATTATTATAATTTAGAGACATAAGAACCTATACACTAACGATACTGACATCACCACTAGCTAGCTTATCTCAATGTACCTGGCAAGAGCACTTAAGGAATTGTGCTTAATAGACTACCCTTCTAGAGGACTCTTTCCAAAACCTTTTTCCTGGGAAAATATAAATAAACCTGTGTAGGAAAAGGTAACTTCCCTATTTTCTTCAAGTTTAAGTTAGACCTTTAATTTTATCTGGGCAAATCTATTTAAAACAAAACAGAAAGCCAAACTTAAAGGATTGGAATAAATCCCAGACCTAACATTATCTTCTACAAACTAATTTAGGGTTGGTAGTTCATTCTGTTTTATAAAGGTGTTTGCCAACATTACTGATGCGAAGAGTATGGTCAATCCAAAGTCTTCTCATGCTGCTCATTATCAAAACAAGGTGATTTCTCGTGTACCCACTAAAGAACACAGAAGAGGGAAAAATTAACTCACATTCAGCTTAATTTCAGAATCTGAATCTTCTGTTTTTTGAAACAGGGTTTTATTATGAAGCTCTGGTTGGCCTTGACCTTCCTTCATTGTAGCCAATCTAGTCCTGAACTTGTAATTTTCCTGCTTAGCTTCCCAAGTGGTGGGTCAGAGATGCACCACAGTTCAAGATTCTAAAATCTTTCCTTAAAATACACAGGGCTGGGGGAGGGAGAGCTAAATGGTTCTACACATGAACACAATAATGAAAGAAAATCTTATTCATAGAAATTTAAAACAAGGTAGCGAGATGGCTCAGTGTTTAAGAGCACTTACTGTTGTTCTTCCAAGGACCCAGGTTCAATATCAGAACCCTTATCAGATGGCTCACAATCACTTGTAGCTTCAGCAGATCAGAACATGAACACACAATATGCACACAATTAAAATTAAAAAAACAATAACAACAAACAGAACTAGGCTGGGGACATAGCTCAGTTGGCAGAGCGTTTGCCTAGCATCTATGAAGTACTACAGGGTTCATGTCCCAAAAGTACATAAATCAAATGCACCAGCACATACCTGTAAACCCCAGTACTGGGAGGTAAAAGAAGGAGAATCAACTACACAGTGAGTCTGAGGCCTACCTACAACATGAGGCTGCCTCAAAAGATAAAAAGCACAGGGCTGCACTGTACACATGTATTCTTACTGACAACAGTTCCAGCCCAGGGACTGGAGTCTTTTAGAATAGAAATACAAGCCAATAGTTTCACTGCCATTCAAATTGTTTTAAAATTATTTATTTGTACTTTATGTGCACTGGTGTTTGCCTGCGTGTATGGTCTGTGTGAGGGTGTCAGAATCCCTGCAAAAGGAGTTACAAACAGTTATGAGCCATCATCATGTGGCTGCTGGAAATTGACCCCAGGTCCTCTGGAAGAGCAGTCAGTGACCTTAATCACTGAATCATTTCTCCAGCCCTGCAGTGAAACATTTTTTTTTAAAAAAACACAATGTGGCAGTAGTTTTAATGTTTTTACCAAAGCAAACGTCAGAAAAGAATGGATCACAGACATGAAATGACTGACTACCTATCTGTATCAACTGCCTTCCAAGCCACTGCCCAGGGCGGTACCTGGGATCACACAGAACTATCTACCTCTCCTTACTGCTTTTTTTCCCAGTTACTTACAAAGCCTCAGCTCTCTTCCTCCTACACTGCTCTCACAAAGGCACATAAGACCTCACAGCACTGAAGACTGTAAAGTCATTTCATGCCTAAGAGTTAACTCTTGTGAGCCAATTATTCAGAGGAAATGGCAGAGCTTTTTTTTTCTTTAAAAAAAAAAAAACTAATCGAGTCTTATTGTCTGTAAAAAAAAAAATAGCAGTTGGCAAACTTGCTTTGTATTCAAACTGAACTAACTCTAACCCTACTAGAGCTCCTAAAGAAACCTACTGAAGCGTTATTCTATACTAAGATGCCTTCTCTCAATCTTTAGATGATTTTTGCCTGTCTTTTTGTTTTCTACAAATTACCCACAAAATATTAAGTCACTAACTAGTACTTACAAAATGGAAGAGGATATTACCATATGAAGTATTTCTGATGGAAATTACTTTGTTATATTCAAATCAGTAGCCTAGAAACAAAAGCTAAATACTGCATTAATCTCCAAAATACAAGAATGACAGTTTTTATTTTGTGTGTGGGCATGTGAGGAGTCTTGAGACAGGGTCTCACTGTGGTGGTAGCTTTGGCTGGCCTGAAACTATGTGAACCAAGATGATTTTGAAATCAGAGAGCCTCCTGCTTCTGCCTCCTAAATGCTGGAATTAAATAAAGACAGGAACTGCCATACCCACCCTCTTTTTTTTTTTTTCCTAAAATTTCTAAGACATGGTCTTTTAGTTTAGATTCTGAGGGTCAATCTCAAGTTCATATGCTTTGACAAAAGCACTTCATCCTCTGAGATATTCCCCAGTCCCCAATTTCCATGTTTTAGAAATAAATGTATGCTCAATTTTGCTTTACATTTGTTAAAAATACATTGCAGTTGTAGACTCCAAAGACACTAAGAATAATGCTGCTTATGTATTAATCCATAGAAACTCAAAAAGACTGCTATCAAAACTGCCTATTAACTTGGCACCTGAGTAACAAGGTTCATAAATATCAGTGTTTGAGAATGTCAGTATATATTTGTAGGAAGAAACAAAGACAATGTAATGATTGTTGTGTCTCTTTAAGAGACAAGCCACGCCTACTCCATCCCCCATCAGCTGAGGCAGGCTGATCTTCAGCTTTTGGCCTGAGTTCCTGCCTCGCTCCCCACTTCTCCGCTTCTCCCCCTTCTCTGTCTCTCTCTCCTCTTCTCTCCTCCCTCCCTCCCTCCCTCCCNCTGCAGGAGCTCCAGTGCAGTGTCTGATGCCCCTTCCTCCTCCTCCTTCTCTGCCTTCCTCCCTCCCCTTCTCCTTCCCCTCCATAACCCCCTGAATTCAACCTCACTCTGCATGTCGTGTCTATCCATGTCTCTGTCTCTTGCCCACCCTCCACGTGTCTCTCTGCCTGGGACCAGCTACTGCTCAGGGACGGGCAGCCGTCTCTGCCTGGGGCTGGCTGCTCCCAGGGCCCCCTGCCCAGCTGCCTACATGGCCCGCTACCACCATTTGAGGACCTACAGCATTTCTGCTGCCTACTGCCGCCAGGGATCCTGCAGCATTTTTAATTTTTCCATTACATTTTGGTGCTGTGACCAGCAAGAGCATCCACTTCGCCTAATTCCTGTTCACTCTCTATATGTGATCACACATGTAACTTAAATACACCTATGCTTAATGTTATAATTGTTCATTACACCTCATTTCAGAGTACAAAAACAATAAGTCTCATGTTTTAAACTGGTATGTACTTTTAAGTCTCTTACAAGAATACTTTATATTTAATACAACCCTCATTTAAAATATATTAAGCTGTTCTCTACTATTGTCAGTTCTGCCATTAACCTTCTATTGCAAGGAGTTTCTTCTTTCTGCCTTTTTACGAGTGTAATCTTACCTGTTAAGAGCCAGTACAGTCAAGCTCAGACCCAGCTCTTCAAGCGGATTCTATATGGTAGTTATACCTCATATACAGCCCTCAAATGCTAAGAGATCTGGGGAATGTGATATTTAAATATTTAATTAATAAAAAACTTTTCATAACAAAAAGAGACAGGTTGGCTCCTAGTAGCAGCACACTACTTCCTCCAAAGAAGACAGAAGACAAATGGGCATACAACAACGTCTGTCCGCAGTTGGCTTCGACTGCCAAGTGCTGACCATTGCCATTGGGCAAAACTGCCTTTCATCTAAACTAAAGATCTCCAGACGTGGACAGAATCGCTGGAATCAACAGCCTTGCTGCTCAGGTCAAGGTAGGCTTGTCTTCCTACAGATTTCTTAGACCACAGGATCTTCTGGAGCCTGGCAGGCCCTGCGCTAAATAGCAAAAGGCAAATGCAACCTTCAGCGACTATGGAGGACCCTAAAGAGTAGCTCTGGGTGCCAACCAAGTAAGTTCTCTGTCATTTTTTAATCAGTAACTAAAGTAAAATCTTATCCTTCTCAAAGAACTCTGATACCGTTTGGTAGCTGAGAGGTTTTGCCAGTTTAAAAAAAAAACCTCACCAAACAAATTTCAGATCAAATTTCTCTCTCATGCTGCCTTCCATAGTCTTAAAAATACTTTTTTCATTCTACAAAAATATGTCACAGTCATTATATAATGTATGTGTCTAAAACTTCTGTTTTCACAAACCCAAAGAATTCTTGTGAGTTCCAGAGAGCCGAATTAAAGGATCCACTTTAAACAGGTCAGATACATCCCCCTCAATTCCCTGGTCCTAAATTTTTTTTTCCCTTAATTTAAGGTTGTTCTTTGTTCTGCCAATACCTTAAATAGGTATAAGAGACACAACAATCATTACACGTTATATACTCACTAGAACGTGGATTCCTTCTTTTTCAACTGGAGCTTTGTCATATGTAGCATCACAAACTCGAACCAAAGTTGTCACTCCGTACTTCTTAAGTTCCTTTAAAAAAAAAGGGGGGGGGGGTCAGGGAACTTTTTGGGAGCTCTGAAACCTGATTTTTTAGAAATGTACTATTATAAACAGAAACTATGTGATGTCATTCTTAGGCAAAGTTCAAAACTGATCTCACTGCAGCAACACATAACAGACACACTCCTTGTGGGAAGATTCATCTTTCTAAAAGGGCAGTAGTAGCACAGCACAGAAACTTTACATTTCATACACACACTGACCTAGAAATTCTATTCTTGGGATTTCATTGTAAAGAGGTAACTAAGACAGAACAGCTTACACAGCATCTTCATCATAAGTAGAACAGAACGCTAAACACTAGAAATGTTTATTAATGTTCCCCAAGAAAGGAAATGGCTGAGGGATGGTACACCTATACAAATATTATGACAGCTATAAAAGTAATACTGAAGAGACTGGGGAAAGTTTTAAATATGTGGTATGATCTTACATATGTGTACTTATAAGCATACATAACATGTAGGGGGGGACATCTAGAAGCCAAGTTATTTAGCAATTATTTTTTGTTGTTTTGTTTTTATTTTTTTGAGAAAGGGTTTCTCTGTGTAACCGCCTTGCTGTCCTGAAACTTACTCTGCAGACCAGACTAACCTTAACTCAAAGATCTGCCTACCTCTGCCTCCCAGTGCTGGGATTAAAGGTTTGCTCTGTCACGCCTAGTCAATTTGGTTTTTGGTTTATATTATTTTGCTTTTGTTTACCTGGATTTTGTTCTTGACTGCTTTTCAAGACAAGGTTTTTCTGTGTAATAACCCTAGTTGCCTTTGTAGACCAGTCTGGCCTCAAACTCAAGATACGGTCCTGCCTCTGTCTTCTGATTGCTGGATTAAGGGTATTCAACACCAAGCCTGGCTCTTATTTTGCTTTTCTGTATGTTTTGGTATTTGTGTAATAAGCATTTATTGATTTTCTAAAGCACCAAAGTTTAATTTTTAAATTAGGAAGAAAAAGTGATTTAAAATTATAGACAAATGGCTTGCTCTTTTAAACAGAAAATACAGCCAGGAATGGCTCTCCAGAGGCAATGTCAGGCAGATCTCTAGAGTTCAAGGACAGACAGGGCCATATAGTGAAACCCTGTCTTTAAAATAATTTATTTACATTTATTCATTTTTGTGCCTATGCTTATGAACATACCGCAATGCACACATGGAGATTCTAAGACAATTTTCAAATTTCAGTTCTCTCCTTCCATATGGGTTGATGGCCATTAGGTTTGGTGGTTAAGTACCTTTACACACTGAACCATCTCACCAGCTCCCAGCTAGGAATTTTAAAAATTAATTTCAGCTGGGCAGTGATGGCACATAACTTTAACCCCAGTACTTCGGAGGCAGAGGCAGGGGGATCTCTGTGAGTTGGAGGCCAGCCTGGTCTACAGAGTGAGTTTCAGGACAGCCAGGGCTATTACAGAGAAATCCTGTCTCAAGATTGACATCAGCTTTTCCTCAATAAAATGAGAGTCCCAGCTGCTCTACCTACACATCAACAGAATTCGCATTTGACGATACAATCTATAAAAGATTAAAAATTTTACATTCAAATATTTGCTAAAGAGTAGAGTTTCTTCATTATAAAAGGCGGGGGGAGGGGAATGAGAATCTGTTCTACTACCCATGACCACTTCCCTCCCCAAGTTTCTGGGTTCCTATATTGTGCTAACTACTGTTACTAAGTAGTTTGGAGTATCTTTTCACTGAGATTTGAAGTATAACCTAAGTTTATTTCTTTAATTATTACATTTTAATTTAATATAATTTGTTGTAGCATGTGTGTGGAGGTCAGAGAACAACTTGGGGGAATGGGTTGTTATAGTCCCGAGGATAAAACTCAGGTTGTCCTACCTGACAGCTGGCTCCTTTACCCATTTCATCCACCCCTTAACCTGAGTGTCAGTATGACTGACTTCAGTGTCAGTTCTACCAAATACAACGAGCCACTGGGCAAACTAAATAAATGGCTTTGAAAATGAGTGGTACTATCTGTAAGAGGAAGGGAACAAGAGTGCCTGTGTCATATCAAATTTTTGTACCTAGACAGAAACAGCGCTCAGTGCTTACTACAATGTGAGTATATATACTGTGCTCAACAAATGTGTTTTATTACTGAAAATGACAGAAAGTACTGCCAATAAATGGAGAAAGAACACAAGATTTAAAGTACTAATCATAGTATCCCCAAAATTTCTTAAGTATTCTTTCAAAAAACTCTATAGTAACAATTCGACCCAATATAAACTATGATAGGATAAACCATTTATAGTTAGATCACACAATTTTATGTTAATTTTAATAGGATTTTAACTATAAACCAATCCCAAAAGTAGACTACGCTACAATCTTACCTCTGTGAACTTGTTGAGAGTAGCGTTGGTGGGGTTGTGAGTTATCAGAAAACGCATGTTCTCGTAAGAAATCTCCACAGGGGCTGGACGGTTCATTATGGCAAATAAAAAGTGTGAGCGTGCGTGTGTGAGTGTAACAGGGAAAATGGGGTTGGGGGGCTTCAATAAATCTTGAAATGTTCCTCAGCAGAAAACATTAAAAAGACCACTAAAATGCCTATTATTGATCACTATTTTCTCTATTCAACTTGTTTACTCCTTATAAAGTTTCTCTCTTCAACACAGGCAGAAGTATTCAGAATCCACTTCAATCCAAATCCAACTTGGGTCTCAATGTCTGCAGATGGATACCTTCAGCCTCCAAAAAATCCAACTACATACAAAATTTAAGCAGCCTTTAAACTACATTTAGGCACTAGTGAGACAAGTTAAAAGTGTTGGTTCTTTTCCACTTTTGTTTACTTGATGCTTAATTTTACTGGAGTCATTAAAAGAAATATGCTTGCAATTAAAAAGAAAAAAAGCCTACTACTTCTGAGGCCAGTCTCGGTGTCCAGAGTCTTCAAGGCAATGTTAATTATGGCACATATATCCCCCAAGCTCACTTGTCAGCGAAAATGCTGTGCTGAGCCTGGCAGAAGTCTGCCCTCACACTCAGAATCGCCATAAATGTGCAACGTATATTCCAACGAAAAACCTAGAGAAGAGAAGCATACGGAAAAGGAAGTGAGACTAAGAACAAAGTAAACATGAAGTCTTAAATAAGAATGCATTCTCTAAGAGCCCAAGATAGGTCAAAGGAGACCAATGACCGGCACCTGTAAAAATTAGAAGGGTGCATACACAGTTAGAGTCTTAAACACCAGTCTTATGTCTTTTTTTCAAAACTGATTCAATACAGATAATGGGGGAATAACTTGTTTCTAACTCATTTTTCAATGTCTAGATCTTAAAAATTCATTCAAATCCTAAATTACTTGGAAACTTTCATTGAACAACTTTTAGCTGTTCAGATCACAAAAATACTGTATTTTCCTGCTTTTGATATACCTTTCACATGTATTCTTTGTTTAAAATATGGTATCTATCTGTAAATAGGCTGAGGACATTTAACAAAATCCTACTTCAAAGATCTGATCTTATTAAATTGTACACATCGCCCTCCTCAGCAATTATAATACTAATCCATTAAGCATGTCAAATATTTTATTTTAGGGCTGGAGCTGTAACTTAGCTGGTAGAGTGCTTGCCTAGCATCCACAAGCCTAGTATGATCACCAGCACCTCATAAACTGGGTACGGTGGCATATGTCCAGTAATCTAGCACCTGAAAGGTAGAAACAGGAAGATCATTCTTGGCTGCACAGCAAGTTCAAGAAGGCATGCCTGAATAAACAAACAAACAAACAAATAAATGGGAAGAAAAGAAGAGGGCAAGTCTGGGCTCTCCCACCCCTGCAGCTTGCTTGTTTGTTTGTTTGTTTATTTATTTATGTGAAAAGAAGTAAAAGGACTTGTCTCAAGTCACCTGAATTAATTGGGTCTCAATCTAAAGTCTTCTATTAGCCCCGTGGTTTTTGTGATCTACCACCATTGTCTGCTCACCACTCATGTACAAACTCAACCTCTTATTTCCAGCCCACTTTACCCTTACTACTATTTTTCACATCACCGCCTCAAGATTACAGAATCAGCAGGCATGGTACAGTGCACCTGTAATCTCAGCTCTCAGGAGGTTGAAACTGGAATGTGAATTTTTAGGCCCTCCTTGGTTACATAGCTACATAGTGAGACCCTGTATCAAAAATAATGTAGGAAATTTTTTTCAAAAAAAATGGAGTTGGAGAAACATGCCTTTAATCCCAGCACTTGGGAAGTAAAGAAAGATCAATTTCTGTTATGAGGCCTGCTTGGTCTACAAAATGAGTTATTACAGGACAGCCAGGGCTACACAGTAAGACCCTTTCTAGGGCTGGAGAGATGGTTCACTGGTTGAGAGAGTATACTGCAAAAAAAGAACCCAACTTCAAATTTCAGTATCACACTGGGCAGCTCCCAATATCCTGTGATTCCAGCTCCAGAGAGATCCAAAACCTCTGGCCTCCAAGGGCACCGACATTCATTCATATGTGCATACCCAGCACACATACACAAATAAGGTTAGAAGTATTAATAAATCTTTCAAAAAATAATTATGGAGCTGAGTATGGTGGAGCACACCTTTAATCTCAGCATTCAGAAGGCAGAGGCAAACCAATCTCTATGAGTTCAAGGCTAGCCTGGTTTACATAGCTAGTTCCAGGTCAGCCAAGGCTCCACAGAAAAACCGTCTAGAAAAACCTAAAAAAAAAAAAAAAAAAAAAAAAAAACTTTAGGACTTTAGGACTTATTATTATTTTTTCTGTGTTTTGCCTGCATATCTTTACATTATGTACATGTAATGTCTATGGAGGCCAGAAGAGGCCCTAGAACTGGAGTTATAGATAGTTGTGAGACACCTAGTGGGTGCTGGGGATCTGGAACAAGCATTGAGCCATTATTTAAAGGAAAAAAGGAATGTGAAATCCGTGGTTAAGAGTACTTCTTGGTTTTTCAGAGGACCCGGGTTTTGTTTCCAGCATCCACAACTGGATGTGTGGACAGCTGACAACTGTCTGTGGCTCCAGTTCCAGACAACCTGACACCCTCTTCTAGCCTCTGAAGGCTCTTGCATTCATGTTAGGAGCAGCTACACATACAAGCAAAACACCCACATACATTTTAAAAAACAAAAAAATATAAGCTATCTGAAGGTCAGTGATCCCACAGCATTCTTCTCTCCAAATATTAGTAAAACTTTAAGGTAAGTCAGAGCAGTAGCAGAATCTTAATTTTATTTTAGGCCTGCTGCTTTGAAATAGTTTAAGATTTTCATTACAAACAGGCTCAGTCAGATGGTAGGTTCCTCTGGAAACAGGGACATGGTCTAAGAAATTCTTTTTCTTGCCTCATCTATAAATCACCAATAACTAAATGCTTATTTGATGTTTCAAGGCTGAAAGTATAGCCCAGAGGTAACATGACTGCCCAACAGGCATAAAACCCTGGGTTTGATATCCCAGCACTGCAAAACTTAGTGTAATAATAATTTTAAAAGCTGGGCATAGTGGCACAGGTCTGTAAATTCCAGTACTTGAGAAGCAGAAGGATCACCAAGTTCCAGGCCAGCCAGGGCTACATTTTTAGACTTTGTCTCAAAAAATATATTAAATTTGTAACAATAAATATATTTATGCTGGGTACATTTCAGTGACAGAGGGCTTGTCCAGCATGCACAAGGCCTCAGGTTCTATCCCCAGCACAGAAAATAAAAATATAGGCTGTATATGTCCAGATAGAAAAGAACATGAAAAAAATATTGGTGCAAGTCACTTAGTGAAGAAAGTGAAATACAGAGAACCTGGGCTGACAAACATCCTCTATTCTCACATCTTTCTTATATTCTCATTTTATAAATGGCATTATTTGTGATATTACCATGGATACAAAACTAAAACATTCCTAAAATATGGTCCAGCCTTGTGGTGCGTATCTTTAAACCAGCACACAGGAGGCAGAGGCAACCTAATATCAGCCTGCTCTATGCAGCAAATTCCTAGCCAGTCAGGGCTCTTAAAAAAGGAAAGAGAGCTGTGCAGTGGTGGTTCACAGCTTTAATTTCCAGCACTTAGGAGGCAGAGGCAGGAGGATCTCTTGAGTTGGAAGTCAGCCTAGTGTAAAGAGTGAGTTATAGAACTATGACTATACAGTAAAACTCTATCTCAGGATGGGGGGGGGGGGCAAATTCAAGGTCACTCTTGGTACACAGAAATTTCTGACCAGACTAACTACAGATCCCTGTAAGTCCATCCAGGTCTACATAGCAAAGTTCCAGGACAACCAAGGCTACATAGAGAGACCCTGCCTCAAAAATAGAAAAGAAAAGAAAAGAAAAGAAAAGAAAAGAAAAGAAAAGAAAAGAAAAGAAAAGAAAAGAAAAGAAAAGAAAAGGAGGGGCTGGAGAGATGGCTCAGTGGTTAAGAGCACTGTCCACTCTTCCAGAGGTCCTGAGTTCAATTTCCAGCAACCACATGGTGGTTCACAACCATCTGTAATGAGATCTGGCGCCCTCCTCTGGTGTGTGGGCATACATGGAGGCAGAATAATAATAAATAAATCTTAAAAAAAGAAAAGAAAAGCAAAACGGTCTATGACTAGTCTTATAATTCTCAATTCTAGTTGCAATCTCAATTACAGGCTTACACAAGACATTTACAGAACACTCCTCTTGTGCAGCCAAGGAGTTTTAGAGCAAAGCTGGGAGAAATGCAGATATAAACCAGTCTGACCTTTTAAAAATTCAAAGATCTTGTTCAAATAGGTTAAATGTTTTAAGACCAACACTATTAATTAGGAACAAATTAAGACAAGAGCCTAGATCTCCTGACTTATTTTTTTCCTTCCATTTTAGATGCACTCACATATTCTTCAAGACCCATTCTTTCTGCATGCAAGTCTAACTTTTCTTCAAGTATCTGTAACTGCTGCCTTCTGTGAGGAAAAGATTACAAGAAACTACCCAAAAACAATGGTTTGCATACACTGCACAGCAAAACACAAGGAAATTCTAACCTGCATTTGAATCTTTTGGTTCAGTGTTATCACAGCTAATGTGTACCAGCTGACTGAGGCACTAAAAGGCTTGCATTGTAGGCAGTCAGACTTAAAAGCTCACAGTCCTAGCATCAAATTCTCTACCTAGTCTCTGGTATTTGCCTGCTGAGCAAACAAAACAAGCTTTATCCCATCTTCTTCCTCTTACTTCATTTTGGAAGAGCCATTTCCAGGGACAATGACAGCTTTTTATTAGATTTTCAATTCTTAATACTGAAGAGCTCCAACAACAGAATTTCTGCCAAAAGAAACAGTATGTTCTATCAAAATTCACAGACACATAATAAAAGCAAGTTTCTGTCCCACCCATTCTCCCAGGAGTTCCATTACACACCAAACAGTACAAGCTTTGCACCTATCATTTCAGATGAACTAATGTTAACTGCAGTTGACACTCAATGCAAAGCAAACAACCTGTTTTTAAAACAAAATCTCCACCATAATCTACCACAGCTAGAATACTCAAACATTGCAGAATCCAACACTGTTCCCAGCACCCATGTCAGGCAGTTAGTTCCCAATAAAGCTGGCCTTCAATAGCACTCTCACACTGGTATATACCTCCATAGACATATACACGGCTAAAAAGGAAGTTATATTTGATACAATTCCATTTTTATGTAATATTTAAATTTCAGCAAAAGAATATACTGTCACAGAAGAATTGAAAAGAAATCCCTCTAATCTCTTTGATCTAAGCGGAGGGCTAGAAAGAAGGGATAGAGAGTAGAGGGGAAGGATGTAGGGGTTTAGAAGAATAGGCAAGCAAGCAGAGTCCTAACTAGAGACAGTATGGAAACTACTTAAAACTCTGAGGGTATAAAACAAAGAGATAAATCCTGGGATCAGTATTCTATTGCTTGTATCTAAATGAGAATCTACAGCCAACTTGTATGAAATAACCCAGTACCCATCCTTTAACTGGAGTACATGTATGTATGGTTTTTCTTTTTCAAAATAAGGTTTCTCTGTGCAGCCCTGGCTGTCGTGGAACTCAATTTGTAGACCAGGCTGGACTTGAACTCAGAGATCCACCTGCCTCTTCCTCCCAAATGCTGGGATTAAAGGGATGTGCCTCCAGCACCCAGCAGCAGGGTATATTCTTAAAATGGAGAACTAGGCAAAGGTAGTAAACTATATCTATATAATAAACAAATATGTAAAGATAGATGAAAGACACTAATTTAAAGCAAATTTAAAGATGCAGGGCAGAGTAAATGGTATGCTTTTAGAAATGCCTGTGTGCACTTCCATACCCATGGACTATCTGAAAGGTTAAAAAGACAAGGGGGTAAGGTTTCCTGGAGGCAGAGAAAGGGTGGGGAAGAGCTGAAGGACAGAAGCATAATTTGCTTATTTTAACATACACCTTTTGAATGAATTTAGCTTTTCCATGTAATACTACGTATCTTTTAAAAAAAATTCTAGGGTGATAAAAAAATCTCTAATGACTTAAATTTATGTTCCAAACAATGCTATAATAATCACAGGGTTAGAAAATACTTCCAGAGGGCTAGTCCCTCTGTCCCAGGCAAGTCTGTAACTACTACAGTTCTGAGAAGTTTCCATATTTGTTAAAGACTCAGCAAATTTCAAGTCATGCCTTAGCAACTAGTCCTGTTCAACTCTGAATACAACATTTCAAAGGCATGAGAGATCAGCCCTATTTAATTTGATCTGATCTTAATAACTTCAATCCACTCCCATCAAGCTTTCCACCTCTTTCAGCTTCAAATTAAGTCATATAAGCCTCTAATGTGATGACCTATGCCAGTATTCACCAAATTAAAACAGCACATTAGAATATAAATGCACAATAAAAGAATTCTGGAGAGAAGGAAATAGAACCTGAACCCCAAAGTCTAAAACACAAGTTTACATTCTGTTATTTTTTTTAACAGGAAGCCATGCAAATGAGTTTGATTAGTCTCTATGGTCAGGCAATTTAAAGCCAAATGTACACTGTATGCTCCACCAAAACCTTGCATTTTCCCTAAAACAAATCCAACCTTCATGAACAAAAGTATCTGTATCTCCCATTAGAATAAACACAAATGACCTAATCTGAATTTATCCAGATGACCTAAAATTTGTGTCTAGATAAGATTATATTAACTTAAATATTTACTGGATTTATACTATGTCATATACTCTTAAGGCAAAAAGCAAGTAACAAAAACAAAAAATTCCTCTATTGGAATAAATTTTGTATTTTAGTGGGGAAAAAAGATAAATATAATACCACTCCTTAGAGAAAAATGCAAAGCAAAACAATCTGTAGTTCCAGAAGAAACAGGGATTCCAATTTTTTAAAAAGAAAGAACTTGCTAGAAGAGTGACATTTTAACCAAGCCTAGAGGGTGTGATCAAAAAAATACTCAAGAGCATTTTAGACAAGCAGATAAGCTGTAGTTACAATCATAAATGACATGCCTTGGGTGTTCCAGGAAAAACAGGAGGGCCAGTGCTACTGGAAAAGAGGACAAAGAAATGCAGAGTCAGAAGTGAGAACCTTATAGGCTCCATAAGGTTTTGGCTTTCATTCAGAAAACAATGACCCTCAAATGAAGCCAATTAAGTTTCTTTCAAAAATGACAATTTGTTTTAAATAAGAGATCACTCCAGCTGCTTTATAAAAACAGATTGGAAAATGATATGGGTAGAAGCACAAAGATGGATGAGGGAGGCCTGTTGCTACAATCTAGGAAATAAGGCAGCTTAGAACACAGTAACAACCCAGAGGATAACTTAAGTCAGTCTTCAGATACATTCTGAAGCAGAACCTAGAAAGCTTTGTCCACACACTAAATACTGAAGGTAAAATTCAAAGTCCTGAGTAACTGTAAAATTCATGGGCACCTACTCAGACTAGAGACCAAAATCATCTTGACCATCAAAAATAGGGAGACTGTTAAAAAATATACTGTACTGTTTTGATTATTTGAGAAAACTTCTGAAGAGAACTCATGTTTGCCAATTAAACACTTCTCATTTGGTTAACTAGTCTCAAACTAAAATTGCTCATTTTCCTGACTTACTCCAACTTGAACACTGCTGAGACAACTGCTTTCTCCAGCACGGGTCACCTAGCTTGTTTTATCCTCTAATGCTACAATTTGTCAAACAAAAACTAGGGGCACAGCTTCTTGAAACTTAAAAGATTCATATTATTTCCCTCCTTCCACTGACAATGATCCCAGACAATAAAGTATCTGCTGTGTTTTTTTACAAAGCAGGAACCAAAATATCTGTAAATAAGATAAAAATAGCAGGGTATCATCTTTAACTGGTTAAAGAGAACAGCTCTCAGAGTTTCAGAGGCACTCCTTGCTTATTCCCACTCCTGCACTTCCTCCTTTAAGAAGGGAACTTGAGAAAGAAGTTCCAGTACAGAAATCAATAATCCATTCTATAAAAAGAAGCTATGACCTTGATGGTAGGAAATGTCTTCACATTTCAGAACCAGCAAAGACACATGGCCTGCCACTCAAAATGGAAAGGAAAGCAATTAACCAACAACCACCTGCTTCCGAGAACACTGACAGCTGCTCACTCACATCCAGTGGGCCCTGTTTCCACCCAAACGAAGAGGAATGGTTTCCAAATTTGTACCCTGGTGATTAGAAAAATCCCTTTTTTAGTAATATATTCCTCTACAAAGTTTTAAGACAAGCGCTGTAGCATTTTTCAAGCCACATTTGAAAATGTACTTTTCAACAGCATGATGTATTTTTCCTCTAAAAATTAGCATTTCTCCAGATAAATATCTTGTCCTAAAATGTCATTTTTCCTTCCATAAATAAAATTCATCTGGGCCTGGTGGCACATGCCTGTAATACCAGCACTCAGGAGGCAAAAGCAATAGAACCACCATAAACTAGAAAGTCAACCTGGGTTACAGTGAGTTCCCGGCCAACCTGAACTACAGAATGAGGCTTTCAAAACACAAAATGGGCTGGAGAGTTGGCTGAGGTTTAAGAGTTTTTACTGTTCTTGCAAAAAGCCCAACTACAGTTTCCAGTAACCACGCAGGGCAGTTCACAGCCACCTGTGACTCCAACTTCAGAGAAACCAACAACTGTGGCCTCTACAGCCACCTGCACTCATGTGCATGCACACACACAATTTAAAATAACAATCATCTTTTTTTTTGAAACGCACAAAAAACAAAAATACATGCAATGCAAATTCACAGTATTAGGGTTAATTTCTATGTTTTTCTTTTTAAAAATTATACTGGTTAATAATATGAAAAAAACTAATAGTATAATCCAGTCCTAACATTGGGTGCTCATCTAATTGTTTTCAGCTAATCTTTTAAAAATTAAAACAGCTGGGCCAGATGGTGATGATGCACTCAGGAGGCAGAGGCAGGTGAATCAACAAGTTCAAGGCCAGTCTAGTCTCTAGAGTGAGTTCCAGGACAGCCAGGGCTACACAGAGAAACCCTGTCTCAAACAAAAACCCAAAATAAAATAAACTCCTGTTATATTGATTCTACTCATCCATACTGTCATTTGTAAAGGAAAGTATCAAGGCCATCCTTTCTATGGGCTTTATGTTTAAAGACTAATTATTTGCATTTTAGGACACCCAAGCCCCTTTTATTGTAAAGTTATGCTCATTCATTTTCTAAACAACTGTGGTAACCTTCTCACACAGTAAGAACTACCTCCAATTAGTTCCTCTGCCACAAAATAAACATAATATTTGTTTTTCTTGTTCTATCTTTATTTCTTTAATCTCACTAGACTAGTTTCCCTAGGAAACAATTTAAATCTTAATCATTTTAATTCAGCTTTCAACTTCACCATACACATTAATTCAAAACCTGCTTACTGAATTATTTCATTAACAGATACACTTGAGAGCTTAGGGTATTATTATGTAGTAGAAGCACTTGCCTAGTGTGCTCAATCTCCAGAATCAAAATTCTAAACCAAACCAACAAACCCACCCAAATCCTGACTTTCAACTGTTAATAGTTTTAATAAAGCAAATTCAGAAGCAAAATCCCAAGACACCTGGCTTCTGCCTGTCAACACCACTTTGAAATGTTTCCTACGCTGCCATCAGGACAGTTGAAATGACTGAGCAGCTGCAAGTTCCCTGAGGTTGCAAAACAGACATTTGGAAAAGGTTATATGAATCACCTTTCAAAATAACCCACCACACAGGAGCAGCATGCAAAGCAAAAACCCAATGGCCCTTTTAAGCATCTTTAATACAGTCTTGCAG